GGCGGGCCTAGTGCGGAGCCGGGCAGGGTTCGCCCAGAGTCGAGGGGGTGTGACCTTAGGGATGGCTGAGACTCAAAGGAGAAATGATCACATGGTTTTGAGGCGGCTTGGGGAGTTGCAGGCTGGAAAAATTGGTTGGGCAGTCTTGTCTTCCAAGGATGTTGAGGAGGGGAAAAAATAGGCCCAAAAGGAAGATAAGCCAGTTTTTGAACATTTCCTTTAGTTATGTAAGGACGGCCCAGGTCTCTGGATTGCCAGCGCTAAGCCTGAGAGCAGCAAGTAGGGGAAATTGCTAGCCTAGGACCTTGGGAAAAAAATTTTTTTTTTTTTTTTTAACTGCTGGGGTAGGAAATTTAGCTTTGTGCCACCAGCGGACTCAGCACCATTCCTAACCACACTCTGGCCAGATTTCCAAATACACTGGAGCTTGAAATCTCAATGGTCATGTGCTCTAAACAGGGACAGGAATAAATATATAACACTCAGCATTTATCGAAGGTTTTCAATGTGCCATGAACTCTTCCAAGCATTTCAGATACTTTTTAAAAGTTCTAATGAAATTAAAATGTCCTTGGCTGTTATTGCCATCGAATCCTCAGGGCAACCCTGTCAGGTAGGCATTATTATTCCCAATTTACATTAGGCAACCAAGGCATACGGCTAAGTTGTTTGTCCAGGCTCTGTCTCCAGGGCCCTAGCTTTTAATTTTTATTCTGTACTGCTACCTACCAGTGAGATGGCAGATTTCTTTGTTGAGACTAAATATTCCACTGAAGTGGACGTCTTCCGTTGAAACTGAGATAGAAGGCTATCCTATAGAGGTAACTTGCAAGAGGACATTCAGAAAAGTGAGATTCAAAGTTAGCTGGCACAGGAGAGATGCCTGTATAACAACTTAATAGTGCTGTCGTAACAACTTAATAGTTGTTAGAAAAAAAAATAGTAATGTAATGAAAGAAAAAAGATTTGTTTAATTTTTCAGTAACCATAATTACAAGAAATATGCACCTGTTCAATGCAGCAACTACTCAGACTTTAGGGTCAGATTGGACATCGCCACCCTCATTTCTTGTTCTATATTGACTTTTAAACTTGCATTTTATTAGAGCAACTGCTAAAAACAGCTTTGCAAAGATATGACATCATCAAAAAGAATATAGCGCAATATGATGTTGAAGTTGCGAACCACCTGGAACTAGCACTTTTGAGATGTTTAGCAGAGTATCACTTTGTTTCCCCTGAAAATTTAAAATACTCCATAGCACCTTGGGAATTCTTTGTGACTAGGGCACCTCGATGCAGTTTGGGAGCTTTCGCAGATCCAGGAGATTTGTTTTTTTGAGGGGGATGTTTGTTTTAGTGACCACTTTATTTTCAGGTAAAACAGTTTAAAAATAAATAACACTGATGTATAAGAGGTGTTGGAAGTATTAAAAGTGGGTCTTCCTGTTCACTAAAATATAAATATGATGATATACTTCTCATTCCTGATATCTATGGTATTTTACTACTTTGGCCACTTGAGACAGAACCAGTTAAGTTAAGCAGATTCAGAGAACTAAGTTGTCCTTGCTTCTAAGTATGAAGTTCCTTCCTGGCTCTGAATTTCAGTGACTATAACCAAAATTTTTTTAAAAAATGGAAATGTAAATTTCCCACAGGTTGGTATTCTTGGTATTTATGTCATTTATCTCCTAGAATTTAAAAAATAGTAGATGATAAAGTCTTAAAATAACACAAGCCCAGCAAAGAATGATGGCTCAGAAATGATTAATACAGGGAACTCTTCCAAAGGATTAGTAAAAAAGAACACTCCTTTCTTTCCCCCACGGGTGAACTTTTGCCTTCTTTTTGAAGCTGACTATTGGAAAAGCTAAAGGTGCTTAGACAGACAGAATGAGAAATAGTTAATCCTCTGACTTCTAGGCTTTGATAACAGTTGTGAAATATAACACATTTTTCTTTTCACTTACACTTGGCAAAAGGGCCAGTGAAACTTGAAATTTGACCTCAAATTAATTTAATCATGGGTCATCACTCTGTCTTCACACCTGGAACATGTACATTTATTTTTCTCTGCCCATCAAAAGAGGCAGAGAAGCTAGGAAAGGCTAGGGGAAACCAACTTATATGAATTAAGGAACGAAAAGACTTCCCTTTGAGAACAGTTTAAATTTTAGGACTTTAATCTGGAAAGCTGCAGCAGGGTCTGATCAAAGTACAAAATTCTAACTATATAGATCTAAGCACGGAGCCCCTTGATCCTTGAAAGACTTAGATTTCATATAGCAAAAAAAACAATCCTAGAGTCATAATATAGGTTAAAGATGTTTGTCCTGCCTCCTCACCTCCTCTCTTAATCTCCTCTGCTGTTATTGTGAAACAATATTTGATTCGTCGTGTCATTTCTGATATTTTTATATTACTTGCATAATTTCTTAGAAATATTTGTGATTTGTGATATTCTCTTCTCAATTTGCATCCCTGACCCACTCTCTTGCTTGTCCCAATTTTAAGGAAACAACTTGAAGTTGCTCCATCCCTGTGGTACCATTTACCTTTAGAAAACTACAGAATAAAGCAGTCCTAACTTGCCTCTGGTGTTGATATAGTACCTCTGGGAGTAAACCATGCTGACCTGTCTCGTGCTGTGTTTCCACTGTCTTGCTCACATCGACTCTAGCTATAGTTTGAAAAGCCCAATTAGAAGAGCACGCTAGCTTGTTAATTAAGAGCCTGTGCATCGGTGTTAGAACACTTCCTCTTGAGATTTTTGTTTGCCACTTAGGAGCCCTGTGAGACGGGACAAATCATGTAACTTCTCTTTGCGAGTTGTTGAGAGTAGATGAGATAATGTGTGACCCGCACAAGGCCAGGTCCTTACTAAGCGTGCAAGTCTTATTTTTTCCTCTTTCTTAATTGTTCAAAACTCAGAGGCATTCTATAGAATTTTAGTAGTTTCCAAAACTTTTTAAAGTTTTTACATTAGGTACATTTAAGCCCGTGTTCATAATTCTGCCATTCTCTTTTTGACATTTAAAGGAAGAGCCTCGACTGGACGTCTTGATCAACAATGCAGGCATCTTCCACTGCCCTCTCATGAGAACGGAAGATGGCTTCGAGATGCAGTTCGGAGTGAACCATCTGGGGCACTTCCTGCTCACTAATCTTCTCCTTGGACTCCTCAAAAGTTCAGCTCCCAGCAGGATTGTGGTAGTTTCTTCCAAACTTTATAAATACGGAGACATCAACTTTGAAGACTTGAACAGCGAACAAAGCTATAGTAAAAGCTTCTGTTACAGTCGGAGCAAACTGGCTAACATTCTCTTTACCAGAGAACTAGCCCGCCGCTTAGAAGGCACAAATGTCACCATCAACGTCTTACACCCTGGTGTCGTGCGGACTAATTTGGGGCAGTACATACACATTCCACTCTTGCTCAAACCCCTTTACCACTTGGTGTCATGGGTTTTTTTCAAAACTCCAGCAGAAGGTGCCCGGACCTCTATCTATTTAGCCTCTTCACCTGAGGTAGAAGGTGTGTCGGGAAAATACTTTGGGGATTGTAAAGAGGAAGAACTACTGCCCAAAGCCATGGATGAGTCTGTGGCAAGAAAACTCTGGGATGTGAGTGAGATCATGGTTGGCATATTAAAATAAGAACAAAGTGTGAGAGAGCTATTTATAAAACTGGGTGTCAGATCGGCGATCAGGAATGGAGTGTTTTGAGCACTTGCTACTTGAAAACAATTTTGGTCTTAAAATAGTACAGCTAAGGTATATATGGATGGTTTGATGTTATGAAAAAGTTATGTTTTGGAGAACAAAATTTCAGAAAAGATGTTATATATAATAAGCATAGCCAATAAGTATAATGAACAATTATATTTTTTAAATTATAATTAAAAAGCATGGATTACAAATATTAACTCAGTTTGAGAAGTTTTTAAAATATCTTTGCGTTTCATGGCCAAAGTGTTAAATATTTTTATTACAGTGTTGGTTTCTGTGTGGGAATAAATGCCTGGTGTGTATGCACAATTCTTAGAATAAATTTACTGATGCAAATTCTTAATTGTCTGTTTCTTTAGAAGTTTCACTGAAATTAGTTCTTTGTCATCTCATCAGCCTGTAGTGATCTTGGTGTGCCAAGTGTCCTTTCTTCTCACATCTTGCTTGCTGTTTTAAGAGGTAATATTTCTAAAACCCAAATCTGTGTCATAGTGTCATGTCCCTGCCTACAAACCTGTGGGTTTCTGGTCTTTTTTTTTTTTTTAAGCTGCAGACTTATTTCTTCAAAAGTTTTACTCAAATGTAGAAGCTGAATTGGTAAAACAGGTCATAGCAATGCTTCAGGGGTCAAATGCCCCCAGGCTGTTCCTTAAGGGACTTTGTAGAATATAGTAGTTTATAAACTATTTCTACTTAAACTTTAAACTCCGATATACATTTTAGAATCTCTAGGAATTGCCAAAGCCTTATCTTGTACTCCTACACTCAATTCTGTCCAATAGAACTTTGTACAGTGATGAAAATCTCTGCACTGTTCAATATGGTAGACTCAACATGTTAAGTGTTTGAAATATGACTGAGAACTGAATTTCTAATCTTAAAGAGGCACATGTTTCTGGTGACTGATGTCTTAGCCCATCTCTAGTTATTCCATCGTATAATCCAGTCCTCGATAAAGACCAGTCCCTACTCACTTGCCTCTTGGCCTTTCCTTGTATTCACTCACTGTGAAATACCCTTCTTTTCACTGGGAATACAGCTCACTCTTTAACATTCCCTTCAAATGTGTTCCATTTCCAAGCCCCGTAAGCAGAACCAATTCTCTTTCTGTTTTCATTGCTCTTGGCAGCTTTACTAGGAATTTAGTGCACTAATTATTTTTTCATAAGTCCAGTGAGATAACTGGAATAGGAATTTTCCAAGGAAAGATTTTATTCTTTTTTCTTAAGAATCAAGTATACCTGAGCCACAGTAAACATTTAATAATGATGCTTAAATGAATAATAAGTAAGGAATCAATGATTTGCATACAAATAGTCTAGATAGGAATGCTGTAGGCATCTGTTATCAAAAATAATAATTTCAAGTATTTGTCTAAACTATCTCAATATCAGAAAAAGGAATTATGACACTAAAGGATAGACTGAACTACACTGAATGTAAAGACTACTTTGGTTAGGGCTAATGCTTGATTGGTTATTATTTTTAAGACTTTTTATATCTGGTTACCAGCATCAGTTCCTTTTGAGAATGGCGGCATCTTGGCAGATCATAGAGAAGGTCTGTTTTCTGTTAGAGCATCGGGTTGTGAATAAGGAACATTTCGTGTTTGTATCATCACAGGTGTGTCTCTGCAGGTGTAGTGGGTATAGCAGCATCATGCTCTTTGAAACTTTTTTTTTTAAAGTAATCCTACAAAGAGACCTGCTAAACTAGAAATATGGGCAGGAAATACACCAGAATGCAACTTGGAAAAATGGAAGCTAATAAATCTGTCCTTCACCTCGACTTCATTAAAAAGGAGCCCTTTTTTTTTTTTTTTTTCTTTTAATACCATCTTTTCTGGCTGCATTTTGATACCTGATGCTTTTCAGGGGATTTGGGCCTTTGTAAGAGTTGAGCCTTTCGGAGTTCTTGTTTGTGGCACCATAATAAAATAGGATATATTAATTTATCATGATGGAAAACTAAGAACTCATCTGGAAACACCAACTATTAAGGTAAAATGAGCTGCCATTTGGAAGATGTCTTTCCCACCCGATGTTTGAACTAATAGTTATAGTTTGACTAGTTAGATTTTGAAGATTAAAACTTTTGCTGCCCTCTTCTTTCTCCTGTCCGCTTATTTCTAGCCATTCCACTGGGCAAAGAAGTAAAAGGCAATTCTGTTACTTTGGTACTTCCTCTGACCTTTAGCGGAATATTGTTAGAAGTGTGTAAAGTGCCAAATAATAGGATAATTGAGTTGGAAACCCATTTTCATGTTGGTTATTGGCTTCGTCTTTTGAAAGATTGACTTCTCTTTCAAGCAGCTTGTTCTGAAAAGGGGTGAGGATGCTGGGTCTTTTGCCTCAACATTACTCAGAGTAACTGTTTTGCATCGCGAGGTTCTAAGTAGTATTTATTTGGAAAAGCGACTTCACTATTACATACACCACCGCATTAGGTTTCATTATCGGCTCCATTAATTACCTCTATGATGCTGGCAAGTTACTTCGCCTCTCCGAGCTCCTGTTTTCCCATCTCTATCACTGAGATAATGAAAGCCTACTTTAAATGACCGCTTAGTGAATAAACGGCAGAGCATGTAAAGCATTTATAAAGTGCCTGGCACACATGGGCACTCATCAATTTCCCCTTCCCTAATGCGCCTAACCTTTACTATTAATAATAATTAGTAATATTTATGTTAGTACATATGATGGAAACAAAACTAAATAGGGGTTAGCGAACATTTTTATAAAAGGCCAGATTGTAAATATTTAAAGTTATTAGGCCATATTTTATGGTTACATATTTTATTTTTACAATCCTTTAAAAATGTAAAAACCATTCTTAGCTCACGCAGACCATACTGTAGTACTTACGCAACAGCCCAATGTACATACTTATTTGTCTTTAAGACACTGTGTGGCAGCAGTTTTCATATATACTGTTACTCCTATTTCTTAATAAGGTTCCTGCTGTTTCTCTTTATCCTTTCTAATCCTGTATGACTATTTGCCTGCAGACCCAGGAAGTCTAGAGAGTATATTGTTTAAATCTCCAACCACAGATTTCAGTGTGAGGAATAGCAGTTATCTGCCTTCAACTTCCTCTCCTCACAAACTTGCTAGGCCTGGCCAGAGATCTGAGAGAACATATATTTGAATATTTAATTGATTCCAAATGTCCTAAGGAACACTAAAGAGAGAACATGTTCCTAATCACCCTTCAGGAGCCTGGCCCCCACAGACAGCTTCAGATGTTTCACAAACCTTCTCTGGACAATGGGGAGTTAAATTAGTTACAGGTCAACATGGAGGAAGGTAGTTTATTCCTAGAGAAAAGTTAGATGGAGCACTCAGTGTTATGTGGACCATAAGGAAGAGTTTTTGCTAAGTTAGAAATTTAATAAAAGTACAGTAGAAGGACTCTTAACCAACCACCATGTAACAGATCTGCTGTGATGCCTGATTCTCCTTTTTTTTTGTAAAACATAATGATGCCCATAGCATGCAAATGCTCTAGGCTGGCAGACTCCCCTCTAGCCCACCCCTGGCATGTCTGTTCCTACCTGTTCTATTATAGACATAGGAAGAGCGAGTCATGTGCCATTCATTTGTCATTTACTGAATGCCTATTATGAGCCAGGCATTATCTTAAGCTCTGGGCACATAGGAGGCGACAGAGAAAACCCAGCCAAACCTGTGTGTCTGTGTTAGCTGTGCTTGTTATAATTTATAATAGAAGTTCTTAATTATAATGCATGCTCATGAATTATGAGTACAGAGAGAAAGAGAATTTCTATGAAAAGTAAGCTGAGTGCTTTGCAAAAACTAAATAAAGGCAAATCACTAGAAACTGTTGAATAAAGTTTCAAAACAACTGTCAACTACTAAATATAGATATAAAACTCTAAAAGGGTCTATATTTAGTGCTTGGCAAGTGACTTTAAACTTTGACTCCATCTTAAAGACAAAAACCTGAAAATCATACACTATACTATTTAAGTTGAGTATAATGTAAGAAAATGGAATTTCAAGTGAACTGGTACTCAGAAAAACAACAGACAAGCTCTTAACCTTCTATCAGAAGATAGGGAAATGAATGAACATGTTATGTTTTCAGTTCAAATAATAATTTTGAAGTGTATATGATCATCTTCATGATTTCCTTCTTTATTCAACTTTTCTATGTAACTACTCAATTCCTAGTGAGAGGGCCTCCATTGTATAAAATAGAAATACCATTGACATACCAGAGAAGTTTCAAATTGGAGGAATTGGCAATAACTGTGTTCTGCTTAGTGAATCATATTTCCCCAAAGACTTCTAATCTAAATTTAGGATATGTTTTTCTTTTAAAACAATATGCTCAATTGATCATTTGTTGATATATTTGTTCCTGAGCGTTTCTCCAGCCTAAAATTTATTTTCATCATAAACCCTGTGTTTGCTTCTCTCCCTCTTTGAAAGCCTCTACTCATTGTGTTAATTAGGTAAGTTCCTGAATATTTAATGAAGCTATTTTTCAGTACATCGTTTTATCTTTAGAAGTTGCCATGTTAGCCTGGTCTGTCCTAAATTGAAGGCTTTAAAGTCTATTAAAAACAACATAAAAAATGTTCCTGACTTCCTTTATAAATTCTGACTTAAGAAAATGCTTATACCTTTTTGGTATAACCCATAGATCTAAATAGTTATCCAGTTATTATTAGCAGAATAGTTCTAAATCCTAATGGCACCCTCCCAGATACCACGAGAACCGTAAGGTAGGGTGAATGAGTAAATAGAAGTCTAAGTTGTAAATATATTCAAAAGACTTTTATCTGTGCAGGCCTATATATGGTGTTGGCATTTTTGGTAGGTCTTGAAGTTGTACACATGGTTTGAGGAAATGCTGAGCATGGAGAAATATATAATCATTATTAGTTTGTGCATAAAGCAAAGCAAGTTTCTGCCACCAACCCATGAAAGCACAGGAAATGGCTTCATGTAGTAGGTGTTTGAGTCTAAGCATGCTGTTGACAGAAGCGGGTTCTACCCAGGGGTTTTGTGTTAATGTAATCAAACACTTCAGAGCTGCAGCCTAGCGGAGTTCAAGTCCACCCACCTCAGAGTTTATCTTTAGCTCATCTGGAAGAGTTTATTTTAAACATTGAACATTGTTTGCTGCTGTTGAAATGAAAGTGAGAGACTTACAAGCTTTCTTCCACTGCCATCTGGCAGATTTACTGATGGATAGGGTTCTTTAATCCATGTAGCCCCGTGTGTGGGAGCTATTGTCTTTGTGTTGATCACGCAGCTGGCTTGGCTGAACTTTAAAAAGCTCACACAAAACTATAAAGAGCCGTCCTTTAGA